ATTATTGAATCTTTTAAGAAGTGTTGTATAACAGATTCATCGGTAAATTCTGATGTAGATGGGGAGGAATCAGAAACTGAGACTGATAAATCGGAAGTCGATGAAAAAACGGAATTGGAAATTGATATAGTAGAATCAGAGATTGAGGAATTGGTAATAAGTGACGAAAGTTTTTAGCGATAAATACTTTTAACAAGTTATAATAGCTTATTTTTTTTTTTTGTAAACATTATTTCGCATTTATAATATGTCTGGTTAAATTTTTATCATAAATTTTACAAATGTGCTTATTTTCGGGTCCTATATAAATATGTTTGTGCTTATTTTCGGGATATGCTTATTTTCGGTAAAATACGGTATATTGAATATGAAATTTGTCACAATATCTCATGTTATATACCGATGTTTCAATGATCTAATATTTCATATTTCGAAGTTAAAATAGAAAACTTGCATTTTAATCGAAAAAATTATACAGGAATTAATTTTCATAAAAATTTTACTAAATCGAATGTGTTGAAATTATGTTCAATGATAAATATGAAATTATATATAAAGTGTTACATGTATTTGAATCAATTAATGATAAACATAAACGTAACTAAAGTAATGTTAGTGGTAAAATATATGTAATAATGGTAATGATGATGGCAATAATGGCTATGGTAATAGCGGGATAGTGATGGCGTGAAGGTGATGATGACAGTGAAGTGATGGTGATGGTAATGGTAATAGTATAAAAACAGAAACTTTGTTTCTTCTATAATGAAAGCTAAATTTATATATTTAATGATTTTTCAAAATTTAGTTACTGTTGCTAATTTCTAAGTAGAATTACTCATTAAAATACAATTGAAAGTCTAAAGTATATTACTGACGTAAATGTTTTGACATGTGATATGCTTACTAATAATTGTCTAAAACATAATCAATAGTATTTGTTACTTCCCTTCATATTCTAAAGATCATGCTTGCTCCATACCTATAAATTCATTTGTATAAAGAAAGATCATCATTGTAAAAGAGTTTTGATTATATTAATATACTGAACTATCCTTTACAAAGAGATTCATAAAGGGAAAGTTATGCTATTATAGTTCTTTCAGGTCAATGGTATATGTTAAAAGATATTCGTGGATTCTATATTATAATCATCCAAGAATTACACTTAATTTAAGATATTTAAATAGTTTAGGAGCCTACAAAATGCAATAAATAAATGCGTCTTATGTAAACAAATTCAGAATTTAAATTATATGTAAATTGTTTAAAATTAATTGTATTAATTATTATAAATAAATATAAAGAATAAAATAGTAAGTAATTAATGTGAACGATATATGATCAGATAAGTATTTTATTACATTTTTTATAATTGCAATAAATGCGAAACGGAATTACTGATCTAAATGTTAATTAATATTATTTTTCTAGGAACATGTCAAGTATTTTCCCATCACTTACAATATAATATGTTCTATTGCAGATTGATCGGCCAAATTGTCCCTTGAAAATAATAGAATAAATAAAACAATTATATTATAAATAATTGCAACAATAAAATCTTAATATATTTTATCAAAAAATTACATTATATATTGAATTTAGTAGAGTTTTAATAAAATAAATTCTTTAGAAATAATAAATATATTCTTTATTGATAGTAATGAAATAGTTATAAATGAATTATTAAATTGATAAAAAATTAAAGTTTAATTTGAAAATGTTGCTTTGCAATTAGAAATGGCCCTCAACTGTTGCGGTATTACGGCCTAAATAAAAAACATAGAGTTGCGGTGCGGGTTATGGGTTATGTTAGTAAGACCTACCTAGTTGTGGTGCTATCTTTATTTGCAATACAGATCAAAATGTTTATTCATTTTACTAAATTTAATATTAGTATTTTAAAATACACTTTATTAGAAAATAGAATAATATTGTAAATTGAATAATTAAAAAAGATACTTATATACCTGATCATTAAAGTCAATTCTTGTAAAATCTATATCTAAGGATTTAATTAAAGAAAATATTATTATAAAATTATAAAATATAATTAAACAAAATTTATTTACCTAGACTTTCGGAACTATCGCCGCTAAATTCTTCATTTGATGATTCTAAAAATAAATTAATTAAAATAAAAACAGTTAAATACAATTAAAAAAATAATAAATAAAATTAAAAATTAATATTTATTAGCATAATCAATAATAAATTAAATTACAATTTTAAAAAAAATAAATTGGTTCACCTGAATATTTAATTTTATTTTTTGTAAAACTTTCATCTAAGGATTTTAAAATTTTAAATTAATTTTAATAATAAAAATATATTAAAAATTAATTCTTACCTAAATTTTCAGAATTAATTATTGTAAAATCTATATCTAAAGATTCTGTGATCACACACACATTAATACGAAATAATTTTTAAATATATTAATATATAATCAAAAAATTATTTATTTTACCTGAATACTCAGAATCATTTTTTTGAAAATTCATGTCCAGGTTTTCTAGAATTTTAATATATTTAAAAGAAATTAATTTAATATCTATTAAAGTATAATTATCTAAATAGGTAGTACCCTTATTTGTTAAATCTATATTTAAGGATTCTGAAATTTATAAATTTACGCTCAATAATATAAAATCAATTAAATAATTTAAAATAAATCCTTTTTTCGCTTACTTGGGCGTTCGATACTATTCTTTGTTAAATTTTTATTTAAAGGTTCTAAATATTATTATTTAAAATTAGCTTATTAACAAATAATATAAAACCAGCTGAGTATAATTCGAAAATTATTTAATTACCTGAATTTTTTGGTTCGTTATTCGCAAAACCAATACCTAATAAAGATACATAAGTTTATATATATAATTGGTGATATTTATTCACAAGAATACAATTTATTTACCTGAAAATTCATAGATGTTCTTTGTAATATCTACATTTAAGGATCCTGAAATGATTTTTATAATTAGTTTATTGATAAAGATTCAGTTGTAATTCAATAATATATAATTATAAATATAATTTCTTCACCTGAAAATTTATGATCAGTCTCAGAATCTATACTCAAGGAATCTTAAGTTATAAAAAATGTATTATTAATAATTAATAATTAAAAATAATTTATAATTAAGAATGTATAGCATTGTTCACTTACCTGAGCATTCAATATCATTCTTTGTTAAATCTACATTTAAGGATTAAATAATAAATAATAAAATAAATATAGCAGTGTATAATTCGACAATTATTTAATTTACCTGAACTTTCTGATTTATAATTTGTAAAATCAATACCTAATAAGGATTCTTTATTTTAAATATAATTGATAATATTTATTAGCATCATCATTATTTTATTTACCTGAGAATTCGGAAGGATTTTCTGTAAAATCCGTATTCAAGGACTCTGAAATTAATTATTTAAAAATATTCATTAATATATAATTAAAATTGTGAATTAATTAAAATAAATAAAAATTATTTACCTGAATATATTTGATTATCAATAACTTGTAAACGTTTACTGGTAAGTTTATTTGTTGAGGCATTTGGAGTATTCATTACTGATTTGAAATATAAACTATTGTGATCATCTGCTTCTTTGCATTGCTTACGATATTCAGCGTTATTATCTGATCGATACCATCTCATGAATATATCAGTCAATTCATTGGCTGTAGGACGTTCTGATGGATCTTCTTTTAAACAACGGTCAATTAATTGTTTAACTAAGGGTGGTACCTTAAAATTATTTAAAAATGTTGGTCTAAGTCCCCGACATATTTTAAAACTAAGAAATAGGTCATGCTTAAAACCAGGATATGGTTCTATTGCTTGAACGATTTCATATAAACATATTCCGAATGAATAAATATCAGCTGCTTGAGTGTAAGGTTTACCTCTTAAAACCTCTGGAGCGACATAAGGTAACACTCCATAAAGTTCTTTTTGATTACCCTCATTTGCAGGCCTACATAAACCTAAATCGGAAATGTAGCCACCATCACCACTTAATATATTGCCCAAATGAAAATCTTTATGAATATATCCACTATTATGAATTTCGCTTAGCCCATCAATAATACAGTGAACCTTAAATAATTTTCCCCATATACCGGATTTAGATTCATCGAAATCATTATCATTTAAATTTTTTATGTATTCTCTCATGTTACCACCTTTCACATATTGCATTACCATTATGAAATTATCTGTTGCAGGTTCTTGAGAAATTCCAAAACATCGAACAACGTACGATTGAAATTTGGTACACACTAAAATCTGTGGTTTAAATATGCTTAATAATTATTTATTATTTAAAAAACAAATAAAATATAACGGAATACCTTACTTACCTCTTGTAAAAAGTCCGAATGAATTTTCGTCGCATCTTTTAAAAATTTTAAAACAACTTCCGAATTCTGATTTCTTTGCCATTTATTATTTTTAATATCCCAATAACGAATATTTCCGTCAACCCAAAGTGCTTTATACACTGTACCAAAGCCACCATCTGCAAGAAATGTAATATCCTTAAAATTGTCATAAGGTATCCATTCTAATAACTCATAACAACTAGTCGCATTTAATTGATTTTGTTGTAATGATTGATTAATCTCTTCATCACCACTAGTCCATTGTTTAAAGTCTTGTTGAAAGCGTTTTGAATTGCAGTCTTTACACCAATAATTGCCTGTAAAAGGTTGATTACACACTTCACACAATCCATTTTCCATATATTGTTTTCTTAAATTTTTATCTGGTATCAAATTATTAATCAATGTTGTTTGTTCTTTAGTTAATTTATATCTATCAAAATCTTTTATTTTATTTATGACATCTTCACTGAGTTTAGACATAGTATTAATAGATGAATTCATTTTCTTGAAATTGGTAGAATAGATTAAACGATGAAAAATTTAATTTAATAAAAAAAAATTATTGGGCTAATTTTTTCATAATGTGGTACAATGACACAAGTTAACAAAGAATCGTTATTACGGTAAGACAAGACGAATTTATTATTTGTCAACACCGTACAAAATTTTATTGTGGCACAGTCAGTCATGTGATATAGAACCAAATAGGTTTTTTCTCCATATTTTTGAAAATGTTATACTACAGTTTTATGAAATGTTTTAAATTTAGGCTGTAGATAAAAAAAAAGGATAAATTATTGATTTCCGTATAAATTTCTCAGCTGTCATACATAAATCTTTAATGTTAATATAGAAAAAACGGTACGAATCGTTTGGCCTGTACGGTACGATTTTGGAGATGCATTGCACCGTACTCCAAATATAATAACCAGTGTGGGTAGAGTATACAGATAAACTGCACTGTACGAAAGTGATTACAATCAATCATATTTCATTGTACGATAACTATACAAAATCAAAAAAGTAAACAATGAAATATTATTGGTTACAATCACTTTCGAACAGTAGAAGAAAATTTTGACGCCTTTATTGATTTAGTAAAAATCGATTTTCACGCCATTAACAATACTTTGAAATACATAACCAACGATTAAGCTCTACATGAGTTGATACAATATGAAATACTTTTGAGCATAAAGAAGGTTTGTTGACTTTAAATATATGATCAGCATGGTTGCTCTTGCACCTAAAGATGATAATCGGTCTCAAGGATTCTAGTCTTTTCAGTCTTTCATTTTAAAAGACCGGACTTAAATAACCACAGTCCTTTTAAGCCTTCTGTTTATGTGACTAAAATCAAAAGGCCGGCAGTCATTTTGTAAGACTTTATCTTTTTTTAAAAACTGCGGTCTTCAAAAAGACTGATCAACGTTATTTAAGTATAAAAGATCGACAAAGGGCTGAATTTTGGTTCATTTTTTTTCTTTTTACATTTTTACAATGAATGATGAAAGCGGTTCTTCTTTGATAACAGTTGAAGAAAATGAAGATTACTTTTGTTGAAAATGAAGCTTTAAATATTGATATTAGTTTGAAGGTAATGTAATATGTTATAAATATTATTTTTTTTAAAAGACTGAATTACAAGACTCCGATCACTCTTTATAAATTAAAACCGCAGTCCGATCCGTCTTTTTATAAGACTGGGGTGCAAAGACTAAGACGGACCGCTAGGACTTATTATCATCTTTACTTGAACCCCTTGACTAGGTTGTACACTTCATCATTTGAAGTAATCAAGGTAATTTTTTTTATTAAGCTCTTCACTCTTATTTCGTCCTGGTGGGGAGGTGCAGCTATCAAGTAGCCGAATTAGATTAGATGTAGTCCATCAACACACGTTTTTGATAAGGTTCACGATCTATATAATACATTAAGTTAGACAGTTAATGTGTTCACGTCTAGCCATCTTGCATATTTATTCCTTATTATATTATGAGAGGTCTTACTCACATTTATACTTTTTTTTACAAAGTTTGATACTAATGAGGTAAACAAAACGCTTAGAGTCTATCAAGCTTATCGTTAACGTCAATACAATGAGAACTTCAGAATCTTATTCCTGTTACGACACCTCTTTAACAAAGTTGAATAAATTCTAGATATTTTATTTGAAGAAGGAGATATATTAAATGAATAGGATGAAATTAATTAACTTGGATCATATGAATTGAGAGATGAAACTACAAATACTGATGCATCGATAAAAAAAAAGAAGTAGAGATACGAACATCGCTTCCTCGTCAATAATTCGGATTTGATGGAGAAGCAGATGATAATCCATCATTTAAGCGAATCAATCGGCAGCAGATAATTTAGGCGAACAAGAGTTACTTATTACGTAAGATTAATTAGTGTTAAATCAAAGAATTATTACTAGTGCTTTATTTTATTTTGACATTTTTAAACTTATAGACTAAATTTTCGGTATTAAGAATATTTCCTTGTCCGAATAATAAATTATTGCAAATCCCGAATATTTCCGCTTATCTGAATAAGAAACTGAAGCCAGATATTAAGTCGGCCGAGAGCGATGTTCAAGCTTGGTTTAACGGGAGGGTAATTTAACATGTGAGGGTATGTCAGCAGTGGATACACTAAAATTCATTAGCAAGGGGAACTATAACGTTCACAACAACGATGGTGGTGTTAAAGATCGAGCAATGGTCACGAAATACAGGTTTTGGAGATTATAAAGCAAAAAACACCTGTCCGGCTTTTAAAGCCAGCCGAAGTAGAGGTTTGAACCGGCCCAAAGATCCTTAACCGGTTATAAATTTGGGCAAAACTAGCGAAATTTCGTAATCACAAAACAATTTAATTCTGCCCGAAAATTAAATTTTGGCCAGAGTTAAGATTAAATATTCAAAAAGGAAGTGCGATCGTGTCAATCAGAGCGCATGGATAAAAAATATGAAGAACCACTGTTTGGATCACGTATTATTACATGCGAGAAAGACATGTGGACTGCATCAGAAATAAATATCCATGACACTTTGACACCACTCGACAGATCAATTTGCTTTCTAGATGGTCGTGCTTTGGAAGGTATAGCTAGAAAACCAGATTTCACAGTGGTCGATGAAAATTTAGTACTTTTACCCCTTGAATACAAAACACGATGGGTTTTAAAAGTACCTTGTATAAGAATATTGTCACACTTTATCTTCGAGAAAAAAAGTTTCAAGAGGAGAAACTTGCAGGTACAAAAGATAATATTTTTAAGACAATTTTATTTTTTTCATAGTTATGGTATTTTGTCAACATTTGAACTAACATGGTTTCTTTAAAGAGAGTAAAAGGAGATCAAGGATGGTTGCAAATATCGGATGCCATTACCAATGCATCAACAGATCATACGTTGCTTAAATCAGTTGCCTATTTAATTTTCATCGCCTCTAGCAACCGATATGCACCATTCATTGAAAAGCCTATAATGGTTGCTGTTGATGGTTTGTTTGTCTTCCGATACATCAACTGAAGCACAAAAAGACGATAAAGTATTTAACTGCAAAGGAAAGAAAATTTCATCCTTAAAAGAGCCAACAGTTATAACTCGAAGCCAAAGTCGCCAAACTCTTGGACCTTTGAATTCCAACACGAACTTATAACATTTAAATTATTTGTGATTAAAGGTTATGTGATCGATTTCGGAAGGAAAGGTTGCGACAAAAAGCTGTTTTATGTAATAAGATAGATGCGCCTCTATCAGAATTAGATTTGTATGTCCAATTGGACATATACAAGTTTATATGTCCAATTAGATAAATGTCTAACACTAGCTTCTATAATTAATAAATTATTTTTGTTATGACGCAAACCAAAAATAAATACTCTCAATATTCAGTACAGGTGATGCGAGTGGTGTAACAAAATATAAATATGTCTCAGTTAAACTGCGGTTCATTTACAGTTGTATACAAGAAATTTTGCCCAAAATGACCGGTGTTATGCACACATTTTTTTAATGAAACATATAACATGAAATCTTCACTAGCTTTATACATATAGGCGTAACCAAAAGCGTGTTCCAACCTAATCTAATTTCGAGAGGATCATCAGTTTGCCTTAGTTTGATTGAAAACCACAAAATTCCGATCTCGCAAATGTTTGTCAATAATCTTGGATGCCTTTATTGGATCATCCGTATATTGACGTACAATTCTGCATATATCTTCACGACTTCCTGAGCCTTGAAATAATAGGAGTTTTTGTAAACATTTGGCTCACATTTATATTTGATACGCCTGATGTCGGCCAATAATAAAAATATGGAATAATCCGATCCTGATTTTTTTTGATTCAGCACAAAGATCCTCGAAGACTACAACTGTATTCTTATCTGGAGAAAACTTAGTTATGTCTGGAATTGCATCCGCTTTTAATGCACGAAATGTTACTTACTCCGATATGCTTTTGGACCCTTCGCAAAATTTTCATAGCAGTTTTTCACCCACCAAAACCCATTTGTGCTCATGGATATGGTTTTCAATTAAAACTAACTTATTGAGGAAGGGTATAAATAAATATATTACATTTGCATAATAAAATACTTATGATATTTGCAAAGAAATAAAATAAAAATAAGTTCATGACATGTTTACATTTCAGATTTCTTAATCTTTTTAGTAAGCTACTAAATAATTATTTAGAATCAATTTATCAGGTCTATAATCACTTTCTATAGATTGAGGATTTTTATTTTTATTTAAATCCAATATAATTAATGTTTCATTATTAATTAAAGGCTTTATCGATATTACTTATTTTAATAATGGCAATACTAGAATATTAACGTTTGATTGACATTAATTCCGAATAGGTCAATTTTTTTTTAGAAAATTACCTCGTATCGCCGGCAGTGATCTCACCGGTATCACGTGTTTATATGTTTATATGCATGTGTTATTTGTCAATCCGTGTCACGACTCCCAGTTTTCATTTTCACCACACACACGTAGGTAATAAAAAAAACATCAAATTACTATTGGTTGAGTAACACCGGTGATGATCACCGGTGATAAATAGCAAACTCCTTTTTTTATTATTTAATTAGGACTATTCATGAAATTATGGAATAGAATAATTCAATGGGAATATTAGAATACTTTCATTTTAAATAATTGACTTGCAGATACTGTGATATTCGCCATGATTTGCGTATTAGAATACTGATTCTGATAAAAAATTTGTTAATCTTTCTAAATTTGAATCTATCAAAATACCAAATTTTTAGTAAAAAGAAATTTAGTATTTAATAATGTCAACAAAATTTAATCAATGGTTATTGTCAAATGCAATCAATTTAATAATAGTTTTATTATATTACATAAAAATAATTAATGAAACATAGTATTTAGCTAAAAATAAATTAAGCTCCCAATGGAATATAAACCTTTTTTCCTACCTGATAATCACCTTTTAAAAATTGCTGAGTATCGGCTTAAGCAATATTTAAACTTAAAGCCTTTGTTTATTTAAATAAAGGTAGTTCTCGATTAAAAAAGAATTATCAATATCAATAGAAAAAATTTTAAGGATAATGCAATTTATATTTTTAAAATAAAATGTCTTCTTGTATGCTTAGATAAATGTTACAAAAAATTAGACTTAAGAACCGATAGAAGTGGTAAATGCACACTAATCAATCAGTATCCTCTTAAATGGTGTAATTTTAGTTAGACTATCATTATAAAATTTATTATAAATTTATTATTAAATAAATAATATACAAACTTGATGGTAAAGATAGACAGGTCAAATCTTTACCCGAAAGATTGACAGTACAAATTATGTATTTCTGTCGATCATTACAAATCAAACCCAATATATAGTAATTTAAAACTGGAAATAAAATAACACAAAGGTTTTTACAACTGAAAAATTCAGCCAAGGCTTAATTTAATAATACGACAAGGCTTCTGAACTATTACAAAAACAAGAAGCTTTTTATCGATCGTGTTTTATTTTGAATAGGAATTGGTTTATATGTTTCTGCTCTTTGTGTAATCAATACGTGATTGGTTTGGTTAATTTCGATACACTGCTCTGGACTTAAAAAAACGGTCACCTAGTTTATAACCTTAAAGGTCGGCGGTAAAACAAATATTTTTTATAAGATGACCAACAAATCCCATTGTATTTTCTCACGCTTCATTTCTTCTAGATAAAAATTATTAAAATGGTTGATACATTTTTACCAAAGTTATCCCAAAGTTTGCTAGAAATTTTAGAAGACGACGAATATTATGATATAACTATTGAAGTTGGTAATGATCCTCATGTGAACATATTTCGAGCCCATATGAATATTTTATATTATCGCTCTCCTTACTTTCGAAGAGTTTTGTCAAATAATAAAAAGAAGACTGAGAAAACTTTGACGCATGTCAAATTGCCAAACTTTTCTCCTGAAATTTTTCAAATAATTTTAAGGTATATATTAATCAAAATATTTTGTTATTTTTTTTTTTTTTTTTAAAAAAAAATTTCGTAATTTTTTTTTTTTTATCGCTAGATACATATACGGCGGAAGACTTCCTTTGGAAGGTTTTGATGATTCAGTTAAAATTAAAACCTTGGTTATCGCCAATGAATTAGGTATTCAAGATTTAATCACCTATTTACAATCCATTTTGATTGAAAATAAGAAAAATTGGTCGGATGAAAATTTAAATCTGATATATCAGACAAGTTTAGAAAACAACTCTTACCTTGAACTTCAAGAGGTTTGTACAGAATTAATTTTAAATGAACCGGAGAAGTTCTTTGAATCACCTTATTTTATTACAATTCCAAAAAAAACTTTGATCTCATTGATTCAAAATGATCACCTCAAAATGAGTGCAGTTCAAGTTTGGAAACAAGTACTTAAGTGGGGTCTTGCTCAAAATAAACTTTCCTCGGATCCTTCTAATTATTCATCAGATGATTTCAATAAATTGAAAGGTACTTTAGAAGAATGTATCCCTCTGATTAAATTCCATAGATTTACTTCTAAAGAATTTGTGGAAAACATATTTCCATATAAGAAAATTATACCCGAAGAATTATTTGATAACTCTGTTAAATTTTTGTTGAATAATGCTGATGTATTAGAAAGCAACTCTAAAAAGGTCGATTCATTTATCATTACAAATAAGCATGTAGAATTAATCACAAAATGGATTGAAAAATTAGAAATTACAAATGAGATAGCTGCTTCATATGAATTCAGATTATTGGCTCGTGAACAAGGAATGCTTTCACATGCTCCTTTTCACAATACTTGTGATAATATGTTTCCGACTATATCGATTATTAAAGTTAAAGGAAGTGACGAAATTCTTGGAGGGTATAATCCACTCGCATGGTATTCTAGAGATATCTTTGGTATAAATTCATTTTATGGTAAAACTAATGATAGCTTTATATTCTCATTTAAGAATAAGGATGATATTGATAATCATATTTTAAGCCGAGTAAAGAATGAACAACGTGCTACTTTTAATTGTTATAAGTGTGGTCCAGCATTTGGTTATTCAGATCTTATCATAAGTCCATTTTATGGTAATGAATGTATCATGAATGATTATGAAAAATCGATCAGAGAAAGTAAATACTTTGATGTAGAGTTGTGTGAAATATTTTTGATCAATAAAAAATGATACAGATTATTACTAGTTAAAGTCAAATATATCATTTGCGTAAAAGCAAATATTGAGTGTGCGATTGGATGGATGATTGTAATAATAATTTTTATTAATTTTTTCTCATTTATCATACATTTGTTCCGGTATTTTTCCTATAAGACAATAAAATTTATACATCAATCTAAATCTAAAGTCTCCTGTGAAATTTGAAATTATTTCATTTTTGTGTTTCCTATTGGTGTAATCATTTTTTTTTTATTAAAAAAAATTTAAATCGAAGTTTACATCTGTAAAAGAAAATCTATACTTGGTATCATTTGAATAAAATTTAAATGAAGTGATTTTAAATTTTTAAAAAAAAAATTAGAGTACATTAGTTATTTTCTGTTCGGTGAGAAAATTAGGTTTTTTGATTCACTACGTAACTAACAATTTTGCGTCAAGTATTGATTATTATGAAACAAACCAAAGCCTAATGTCTAAATTCATTGGAGTATTGTTCGAAAACTTTTCTCATCGTGAAAACTTTTTTCAAAAACTTAAAAAGCAATGCGTTCATAAAAAATTCTCATTTAATTTTTTAACCCGTGCTTAGTATACTATAAAGAAAATTACTTAAGAAATGAAATTTAACAGAATGACATAATTAATTGGTTATGATAAACATTCGATAAAAATAATATAAAAAATTTCAAGTTGGCCGAATTATTGTGATTTTATGTTATTCCAGTCTTAATTTACACACAAATAACCCAAAAACCCGACATCCAAAAATCTTGACAAGAGCATAATCACGATGGTCCATAAACCTAACAAACAAAAAACCCGAATAGTTCAAAATCCCGATAGCAAAAATCCCGACATATGAGGGTTAGGACTAGGGTATGGAATTAGGGTGTGGGATTAGGATCTGGATTAGGGTAAAATTCGTTTAGATTAGGGTTAGTTGGTTAAATATCAAATATACGATTTGTCAGGATTTATTTATGCTTATCGGGTTTTCGTGATTGTCGGGATTCTCGTCATTCGGAAATATAAACTTTCAGGCATTCGTGAGTGTCGGGAGTGTAGATTATCGGGATTATGGTTGACGGGATTTCGTGATAAACCCTATATGTTACATTGTAGAGGTTGGAACCGGTTTAAAAATCCTTAACCGATTAATAACCGGTTAAATATGCAGTAACTTAGGCCGGAACTATAAATTTGGGCGGAGCTAGCGAAATATTTGTAATTACAAAAATCTTAACTCGGGCCGAAATTTTTAATTTTCGGTCAGAATTACGATTAATAATTTTAACCTGTTAACAAGTTATCTGTCTTAACCGGTTCCAACCTATATTACATTGTATTTCGTCTAAAAAGACTGAAATTACTATATCATCTCAGACTCAATGAATAGTGAAATAATTATTAGTCCGGAGCGAAGCGAAGGACTATACAGCTCTATTTTGGGTGACACAAAATGTCGTGAGATTTGAAGTTCGAATTTACATTTCGAATGTTTGAAAAAATTATCTGTATTTCGAATTGAACCTTTAAATATTAGCTTATAATATTCACCACTTTTTTGTACCTCAAAGACCTTCCGTGAAAAACGAACTGAGTTTTTTATAAATTTTTCTCTCATGATTTTGATGAATATTCAATATACGCATGTACTGCAACATGAAATCCAATCGACTTCAAATTTTAGTTAAAAAAAAGGACATTCTTTAATATGTTTCAATATTTTGCTTTAGGTTAGATGTTAGCGAACTGATTTAAGCGCGAAGTATTTTTGGGGAAATTTAAGATGCATATGATGCATATTTTTATATTTTGTGAAATCTACCAAATTACATTTTCAAAATTACAAATTTGATAATCGATTAAAATATATAATCCTTGCCATTCCGCGAAAGCTGATTACCAAATTCTATACTGTTAAAGCTTTAAGCGTTAAGGCATTAAAGATGTCGAATACAATTAAACTAACTAAATCTATCTATAAATAAAGTTTGGAAGTTCCGCGGTTTCACATGATAATTTATTCGATTTATAGAATTCTGTTTGGAAAATTATTCTGTGTTATGTCAGGATTTATTAACAATGATAAATTTCTTAGTTATTGCATTTTCATTAATTGCAACATCGAAAATAAAACTATCATTATGTGGCTTAATATTTTCAGTATCACTAGGACCTTTCCTTCCACAACAATGTGCCAATATTACTGCAGTCATAATTAATATAATACCTCCAGCAATACTTCCAAAAGCACCTCCAATAATTGAAACGCAAGTTTCATCGCATTTACGACGAGAATAGCATATTTGACCACTGAAAGAAGGGTTAGCGCAGCTAACATTATTAAAATCTTGAATTTTAGCTTGCAGTCGGCATATAGTATTATCTAAAACTTTAGCAAAAATTACATCATTGTTCAAGCTGTCATTATTAAGTGAGCGCCATTCAAACGCTATTGCACGGTCTTTCTTAGGTATCAAATGAATTCCAAGTGAAGAAGTACCACAAGGCATCCTACACGGAAGGAGTGCATTAATTATTTGTTATTAGAAAGCTAAATTATAAAGCGAGAATTTTACTTACTTGGCCAGTTTAAATTTGACATCACCTCCATTGATATCGTAATATGTATAGTAGTCTGTGATGCTGCCGTCGTTGTTTACCTTCAAATCATTAACATCATCACATTCTCCATTTGCATAACAGCTAAATAGTAAACAAGAGAAAACAACGCATAAATATATTCTTAAAAGTTCCATGATTTTTAGTAAAAATTAAAAATAAAAAGAAATTCAGGAAAAAGTAAAATTGCTGAACTCACTTATATATTGCCATTCATTTATTAAAAAAGGATTTTATATTTTGGCTTTTTTAATGATTTTCTTCCATTATGATTGTCAATTTTTCGACCACATGTATGCGAAAATCATTTTACAATTCTAATTTCACAAATATTATCATTAATTTTAATATTTAATAATTCATTATATTTTAATAAGTGAAATTAAGTCTGAAACAGTGCAATTATTATTTTGCATTCCAACACTTTCTATTAAAAAGTTCACGTAACTTTAAAATCATGGAACTGCCAATAATTTGAACCGGACCGTGTAATAGCGTTACAATTTTTTTCCTGATATGTCATCGGCTGCCCACTGCTTTTGTAAAAAATTTTTATATGACAAAACTCTTCGGTGAAAATCATGTGATATCCTCGGCAGTATAACTCTTACATATAAAGCCATTTAATTAATTATCATTCACGTGTGTATATCAAGTTCCCAATCCGGATTATCTATTATACGAAGAGTGCATATCTAAATCCGATCATGATTTTATGTGTAAATTATTTTTTGATATTCCCTTTAACAATGCTACAACACATTACAAAGATTTAAGTTTCTGTTTGAAACCTTACAGAAACGGAAATGATTACCTTTTAGATTTATTTTCACCTGACATTAAATCGGTTTTCGATAACCTTATTTTACCCAACACTTCCATATACATAATTGTTTTCAAAATACCCAATGACTCCTGTTGTATTTTCAAATTATAGAAGTTTAACTTGATCAAAAACTACTGGTATGGTAATATGTCATATCTTAAGGTTGAAATCCTGATTTTTAGCATATATTTACTTGATAAATTGGGTGCCGTTTTAAATTCCGAAGATCAAAAATCCCGAATAAACATAATAATAATTCCGAATACCATAATTTTAAAACTATAATAAAATTATGTTAACTATTTGTAACGCACGATATTTTTTTACTTTTTTAATAATTTAATTTTTGACTTTTTTTCGATAAGATAACGCATTGTACAATTTTCGCAATTCATCCATTTTTATTGTTTACAACTAGAAATTGCGAATAGCAGGGACTTCATCCCCACCAAACTTATTGACCTACTCCATCTATTGCAGTTGTGGTTTTAAGAACCTTTTATTTGTATAAATAAAAATTGTCTTATTTTTTTTTTAAAGTTCTAGATATATGTAACAGTTCTTTTTAAAAATCCGTTACAAATTTGTTAATTTCTGCGGATAATTCTATTTACTAGATCACATGTCGTTCCCATTTTTATTTATACTATCTATATACACTGTACTGTATGTCAGTGATGGCAAATTGTAAGATCATTACTATTTTTTAATTGACCTTGTCATCTAGACTTGAAAATTTATAATAAAAATGAGGTTATTTCAAGTTCATTACAAGGTCATTTACCAACACTGTTGTATGTTACATTTATTACACATTTTCAAGACCAAAAAAAAATAAAAACAAATAAAAATTATTTTGTGTCGTGCCTTATTAACTCAACCAACGAGCGATTTAAATATTTTTATATTGTTTCTTCTTGTAGTACAAAGCAAGCGTATAATTAAATTATAATTTTTGTTCATGTCATAAAATGTATTTAATATACCATTATTTAAAATGTGTAAAATAAAGTTTCTATGATGTTAAAATTTATTGTAATATATTATAATAAACATTGCTACGTTAGATACATTTCCTCCAAAACAGTTTATTTAAAATTGTACAATTTGTTCTTATGAGTATTCCTACAATTTGCTTATACACCATGCGTATCTCTGTCCAAAGAAAAATTCTAGAATATCAATTTAAAAAAAATTAAAAAGTTCTTCAGTTCTTTAATTAAGCTTACTAAAATTAACTATAGATTTTAGATTTGGATTACCAATATTTCAGAATTGCTTGAAGTATGAATTTACAATCGCCGAAAATTTTTCTTGGACGAAGTATACTTGATACTTTTTTATATTATTCAACAGAATTACTATTGAACTTTATTGTAAATGATAATATTCAAGATATTGATTCATCTCACATTAATCTTTAGTTTACCCCATGTTCAATCATAAGATATTGAAGAATGGCATATTTATCACCAATAAAGCTTGTATTAATACCCTCAGCTAATATCGGCAACTAAATATCATTAAGACTGGATTTAAAATTCATTTCGCAACGAACGAACCTGTTATAAATTATACAATTATTCGCAAAATTTACGAATAATTTTCTCAAGATTTGAAAATTCCATAATGCATGTGCTAAAATATTTTAATTTTTTTCAACTTTATATTTGAGATTAAAGTCTAATATTAAAAATGAATTTTCTCCCATAATAATGATCAATGAACTTTTTAAAAATAGTGATTGCATATCACAGAAGATGAAATACTCTCTTTAAATACAATTAAAGTAAGTTGCGTCATTTTCCAACCATCCATTACTGTTACACGAGCAATTCCCTTTGAATTTCCTTTTCGGCAAATACAATGATGAAAAAAATTTAAAACGTGTTGTGGCTTTTTTGCTTGTAGGTTTTCACTCGTATCAAAAAAAATGTGCTTCTAATAAGACTCGAGAAATCTCCCTTTATTGTTAAAAGAATCCCTTCAAGAAGTTTAGATTTTATTCTTATCAATTTCAATAAAAACATGCAAGTTTGAAATGTAATGTAATATTTTTTTTTTGTTTTTTAAAAATACTAAATATTATTTTTTTTTATCGTATCGTACAGATTAAAGGGTTGATGAGAGATTAAAAGATAGTGTAAATTTATAAAATATAAAAAGAAGAAAAAACTCACTCTCAACTGCGTTTGGATATTCCACAATCCAAGATCAATACCTTCATCATCACGTGTCTTTTTCTGGTAAAATCTTCGACTCATCTCAGATTCAAAATTAGCATAAGGCAATTGTTAAACGATACCTTAAAAGTTCATTTAACTAAATCCGTTATTTAGTTTGCTCATTTCGCTACTAAGAACAGAATATTCTTGTGTAACCTATTTTTTAATTTAAAGTTAGAAACTCTGACAAAAAAAAAAAAAATATGAAGTACCCCTCCTCTCTCTGTCTTTTTTTCTTAAAAAAAAAATTATATCAAAAAGCAATTCTTATAAAATGACTTTAGAAGTTTAATCAATGATGAGAAATACAGTAATGTCGAGATGAAATATGTAATATACGGAATTAAAACAATCTTGGCCACAAGAACTGAGGTATTCGAAAAGTTACTATAAATTGGAATGGGAAGGGGAAGGGTCAACTCGGAATGGAAGTGATATTAGAATTGATTTATACAGGAACAATGTTTGAAGGATCCTTGACTAGTTGTTAATTTTTTTTAACGTCATATACGATCTACATACATAGATTTTCCTAAATGTTTATTTTTATACGTAAAATTTTTGAATGTATCGAGAAAACTTTTACAAAATGTTATATAAAGGGGCTGAACATTTGAAAATAATTTTCAAGCTCATCTTTCTATTAAATTCTAAGAAAAAAAAATTATTCCATAAAATTAAGATATTGAGACAAAATTTCGTACATCTATGAAAAGTGTATCATATCATTTTACATTTATTGAATCTTTTATGGACTACATTATTAATTATTACTCTCAACCCAAAAAAACTTAAGTTTTTTTTAATCTAATTAATTTATCGATCTGGTAGCTTCTGCCAATGCACTAAAAAAGTTCTGTGGTAGAATGATTCACTCCGATTATTTAAATATGATATGATTGTCCACACGTGAAAATAATTCCAATATTTACTATTATTGAAGTGGATTCTATTATTGAACCGATACATATTATTCCACAGTTTGGTAAAACTAACGAATATTTTGTGAATTTATTTATCTTTAAAAAAGTTAATTAATTTCACCTGTATTTAGTGAGAAAGTATATAAATATCAAAAATGCAATGTTTTATTTTATAGGATCGACAGAACCGACTTTTTTAACTCTTGTTGGTTGAACCATAATCACTGAAATGACCCAAATGGCTTTGATGACTGGTCACTATTCATTAAGTCTAGTAGTACCAGTCGTGACAAATTCTGGAGTCGACTCAGTCAGCCGTTAGAGACTATTCAGTCAACTCAGCCGTCGACTGAGTCGAGACTCTCATTTGAAATTAGCGACCATAATTGTATTATTAATATCTTAATATTTATCAAATTTTTAAAATTTAATTAATGTTACAAAAAAAATAGATAATTATAAGTTTCATCATAAATAATGTTGACAAGAATCCCATTTGGCTTAAAATTTGAAGTTTTTATTTAATTAAAAATTTCACAAGATTCTGACCTTATATCAAATTTGAAATAGCGACTCAGTCATGGCTCAATCATTGAAAATTCTGAAGTTGACTCTAAATGATTTTGCAGAGTCATTGACTATGACTCTAACGGTTGGTACTACTAGTGATAGTGTGATTATTTGTTTCATATATTCCATCTAAACATATAATGTTTGCAAATGGCATTAGTTCTCTTTGTTTTTTTGTCTGAAAAGCAAATAAAAATTTTATATCCTCTACTTTTGCATTTATCTCTATATTACTATGCTCAAATAAACAATACCATCCATATTAATTAACTTTTCAAGAGATCTTTATCAAGATAAGAGCATGTTTCATTATATCATATACAATTGTATTGATATCATCCTTTGTTACTAATCCATCTCGTAAAATTTGAATATTTGTAAATTTTCTTTATTGCTTTTCAATAATTGTATTTGATTCTGAATTACAATTCCCGAAGCCGTAAAAGTCATTGTATAATAAAAGCATCAAGACCTTCAAGGGTAATTTGCCGAACATTTTCTGAAAGAGGAAGCATAATAAACGGCCAGGGTAGTGGTTAAATAGTGTTGTAAATCACTGTTGTTGAATTTTTAGGAAGAGTAGCTTGAATATAACCTTTACAACCACGCTTTTTGATTCTTTTTGTGCTAGGTCGTGGTTTTTTATTAGTATTTTTACATATGACCCATAACAATGACAATACCGTCTCTCAACCATTGATTTTTCTTTTTTTGACATGCCGAACATATTTAAGGCCTGCTTTTTTCAAGAGTCTTTATCCATTGTGCATATTCGCCAAGTGGTAAATAATATGTTTTAGTTCTTTTCGTTTCTGACGTCCCTTCTTGTAGGATACCATCATTCAAGGCCTCCCATTCTTGGCCAATACCATCCGTTGCATCTAATACATGGTCAAGTACATCATCAAACTCATTTTCACTTATATCCATATCCTTTTCTTCAATATCATAAATATCATCAATATAGGTGGTGGTAATAGCAACATAATCATATATAGTAAAATTTTGTAGGACAATTTCGTTTTGTATTTAAAAGTATGTGCGTTTAAAGAAAATTACGAAAATCTCGTGCATATAAAAAAATTATGAAAAAAAAGTTATATTCGAAAAAATTGCAACAAATCCGTTAACTTAGAGAAAAGGTTGCAACAAACATAAAAATATATGCTTTTTATAATTTTATAATTAATCACTCTAATTGAAGATACTTCGAAGTTTATCACACTAACGGGTTGGTTTAGCCACCGTGATAAGTGGCGCAAACCAATCAGAGACGACATTTACCTGTAGCCAATCAGAATTTGGGGGCAACTTAGTAAATGCGCTCAAGAATCATTATTTACAGTAAATGATTGTAATGTTTGTGCAGCATCTCTAACACTGCCAATCACGTTCTGATAATGTTGAATCCTTATCGTTATACGATGTTAAATTTAGTGTTCGGAAACTTTGGCTAGAATCTGTATTAGAGATCCGAAAAAGGTTTAAACAAGATGAGAAGTTATTTTTTTAACTAAATATAATAGGTTACCAATATTACCAGAAGTTATTATTCCACGTGAAAGTTTATTAAATTTGTCTTCGTTTCTATTTTGTATATCTTCTTAAATACCTTTCAGTTGAAGTTCCACAAGGGTGTGCAACACGATAATAATTCGGCTCTTGACCAGAATTTTAACCTTGGACCTTAGGTAGTCTTATAATACATTCATTGTAGTAGCCGTAATGATTTATCAAATGACTTAGAGAAAAAAATAATATTCTGTCTCTTTTACTGCGCTACAAATCATGATCGGTAATGCTCGCTCCGAAGGGGTCGGGTCGGGTCGGGTTTCAGAGAAACCCGAACACGACCCGAGAATGTAAATGAACTGTTAAAAATATTCGGGTCAGCATTTTATTCTAATTATTTTTTTTTTTAAAAAGTAAATTATAATATAAATATCAATAAATACAAAAAATACTTACGGAAAGCTGAGACACTTTACTTCTCGATGAGATTTTGAATCAATGTAAGATCATTTTCTTAAAAAACTTCTTATATAAAGTTCTACGTAATGTTTTTCGTTTTCGAGTAGTTGCACTTCCAGAGGTAGGGTCAATAGATTCGCTTATTGTTTAAATATTTATAATTAAAATTTCGTAAAAAAAAAAGAAGTTTGCATAATTAAAATTTTCTTGTACAAATTAGGATCATACGATCACCGGGATGATTTAATTCGGGTCTCGGGTCTTAAAATTATGACCCTAACCGACTCGAAAGCTTAACCCGGGTCAATAACCCGGACTTAAGATGCAAGAAGTATAATTTGAAACAAATATATTTAGATTTTTTATGAACCCTTATTATAAAATAAATTTCTTATATATGTGATTTTAGACCGGCGTCACTTTCCAAAGCAGCTAATTGTAATTAACAGGAGGAGGTTGGGTGTGTAAGGAAAATAAGATCATAATATTTTTATTAGCAGGTCTGGAAATTCTAGATTAAACTTGAAATTTTTTCTCACTTTTTTTCCTTTTTTCCCATAAGATCGTTGCGGAAGTTTTGTGTACCTAAAGTTAAATCTTTCTATAAAGAATGTACTTTGCATATATGCATACACATTTACTTTAGTATGTGTAACATCACTAACCAATTATCGAATGTTTCCGGAATTCTCAGTTAATAAAGATATGCCGGTTTCGAAAAAATTCTCATTATAATTTTGTATTACATTCATTACTTTATATATTAAACTGAAAAAAAATAAGCAATTTTCTCTATTTAAATACAAATATGTCAAAAACAGAAACAAATCATGACGAATATCTGTACATATCAGAAATGATCAATTCAAGTGATAATATTAATAATCTAATAGATAAATTATTCATATTATTAACTAAAATACTTGATGAAGGTAAAACTTTTGACGAAACGAAACATTTGCTTAATAAATGTATTACTCATTCTACACGCTCAACTGATGATATATTCAACTGGCTAAACGAAAATCAAAATGAATCAAAATATGTTTTGTTTATTGGAATTTTTTATTTTTATAATATGCTTAGTTTAGATAAAAATTCTAAGAATGAAGGATTTAAATGCTTTCTAAAAACTGCAAGTGATCATCCGATTTCGCAATTTTATTTAGGTAGATGCTATGACAAAGGATTTGGAACTGTCGTAAACTATAACTTTTCATTTTATTGGTATCAAAAAGCTGCTGAAAATGGACAAATAAATGCACAATTCAATCTTGCAATTTCATATAAAAATGGTGAAGGAACAGAAAAGAATATAGAAAAGGCATTTTATTGGTATCAAAAAGCTGCTGAAAATAATTATGCAAATGCACAATTTGCACTTGCAATTTCATATTATAATGGTGAAGGAACAGAAAAGAATTTTAAAAAAGCATTTTATTGGTTTCAAAAAGCTGCTGAAAATAATTATGCAAATGCACAATTTGTACTTGCAATTTCATATGAAAAAGGTGAAGGAACAGAAAAAAATTTAGAAAAGGCATTTTATTGGTATCAAAAAGCTGCTGAAAATGGACAAATAAATGCACAATATAATCTTGCATTATCATATAAAAATGGTGAAGGAACAGAAAAGAATTTAGAAAAAACTCTTTATTGGTATCAAAAAGTATTAACAAATACATCTCCTGCATTTCCTAATTTTTATAAATTTAATTTCTTTAAATTAAAATTAATTAAAGGATTTATAATTGAATCAGAAAATGAATTTTATAATATTTGTAAAAATTGTTTGAAAAAAAGATCTTCAAAAAAAGATAAAGAAATTTGTATTATTTGCTATCAATCTAAATTATTATATATATCAAGTAGAAATGAAATTGTTGATAACTTTATTAACTATACACAAATTAATTTTATTCAAGAATCTAGTAGAATGAAATTTATTCCTTATAATCAATTTAAAAACTTAGAATTAGTTGGAGAAGGAGGATATAGTAAAGTATATAAAGCTATTTGGATTAAGGGTCCATCTTATTGGAATGATGAAATAGAAAATTTTGAATTTAATGATCCAAATATAATTGTTGCTTTAAAACAACTAAATAATTCTAAAAATATTACTTCTAAAGAATTAAATGAGGTATATTTTACTTAATTAAATATTTTTTTTATATTTATAAATTTTTATATTAATTATAAATATTTTATAAATGTAGCTTAATATAATTTATAATATTGATTTAAATGAAGGATTTATGAATTCTTTTCTTTATTTAAATAGATATTATGGAATTACTAAAAATCCTAATACAGAAGATTTTGTAATTATTATGAAATATTATAAATATGATTTAAAATATTACATTATAGAAAATTTTTATAATCTTAAATGGGATAAAAAATTAAATATTTTGAAGCAAATTAATAAAGGACTTCAATTTATTCATTATCAAGGAATTATTCATCGAGATTTTCATAGTAAAAATATTCTTTGTGAAAATGAATATGATGTTATAATAAGTGATTTAGGAATTAGTAAATTATCAACTGAATTATCAGTTAATGATAATGAATGTTATGGTATTATTCCTTATATTGCTCCTGAAATTTTTCAAGGACAAAAATATAAAAAGTATACTAAAGCTTCAGATATATATAGCTTTGGAATGATAATGTGGGAATTAATGACAGGTAGAAGCCCTTTTTGGCATCAAAATTTTGATATAGATTTAATTATTAATATATGTGATGGTATACGTCCTCCTATTATTACAAATGCACCTGAAGGTTATATTGAATTAATGCAAAACTGTTGGGATTCTGATCCTAATAAAAGACTAAATATAGGTGAAATTTTGGAACTTATTGATGAAATCATTTTGAATGAAGAAAAGAATCCAACTAAAATTATAAAATCACCAGATATTGGACCTATTATAGAACATAAACTATATAGTAGTATAATAATCTTACCAGAGTTCAAAGGATGTTTAAAAAGTTCAAGCATTATTGGTAAATTAATATAATTAAATTTGCATCATTCTTTATAATAGTATAATAATAATTTATTTATTTTTATTAGATGAATATATTAAAGATAGTTGTAATGAAAACAACAATAATGGTAAGTAAAGGAATAAAATACTAGCTATTAATTCCAAAATTAATCAATTGTTTTAACTTATAGGTTATATATCCAAAACGATATGGTTTGACATTTAATAAGTTTAATCATATTTCATATAATCTATTTTTGATATATGGTTACTTATCTTATATTTATTTATCCATTAAATCTTATACATAATATTCTATATAAGAATTCACTTAAAGACGTAATTATGGGAGCGGTTTGCATGAATTAATCATGTATTAAAGCCAATAATATTTGCTTTAAATATAAACAGTAACTTCAAATTATGTTCTGAAGGAAAATTATTACAAGTTGTTCTAAGGATTGATTGTAAAAAACTAAATTAACCAATTTTGTTGATTAAATATAACGCTTCATTTCAATTTTATGGAAATTAACGTTAATTAATTAATTATATATATTTATTTTTTATATAAACATAGATTAATATTAAAAAAATATTATATAATTATATAATTAACAATATTAATTGTGATTTATGATTGTTATTTTAATAAAGTATCTAAGCTTTATTTTAAAAAAATGTTTATTAGACATTTTTAAAATCTTATGTCCTATATAACTATTAAATTAGCTTATCTAATGAATATTTACAGTTAGAAATTTATCAAAATGAATTTGATAATAAATTTTTCCCTAAACTTTCATCAATGAATATTGATAACTATTAAAATTTTAACATAAAAAATTATTCGAAGGTAACATAAGATTCTAACATAATACTTATATTTTCTTAAGTCTGCAATAAAGTTTATGGTTAAAGAAAGAATAGTTACTTCTATGAAAGCATTTATTAAAAATAATACAGAGGAATAAAAATCTAAATGTCTCTAGGCAATAAACTCATTTTTAAGTTGTATTGACTAATTAGCTTTTTCAGCTGAAAGTAGAGCACATTATGTGATGTAATTAATTAATAATATATATTTATTTTTATATAAAATTTATATGTGATGACAGGAGGTGAAAATAACTCATTTATCGAGATTTTTTTTTAATCGATTAAAAGAATTTATATTAAACTTACATCTTGATACGAGCATGGTTACATGGTTATCTAAAAAATATGAGAACTTTGTTGATGCATTGTAACGGTAAATCGTCTCTTAAATATGAAACTATTTAAAATAAAATCATGGGCATTTCCGGACGAATTATGATTTTCAAATACATGAAAACTTTAACACATATTAAGTAGCTAAAAGTTGAAAGCTTACATATCATTAAACCACCTTTTGTTTGAAGCAATAAGTTATTTATATACCAATTTTCACGAAAAAAAATTACGACTTCAACTGATTAATAAACTTGCTTATTTGACCCGTTATTAAATCACGTTACGGTAAATTTAATAACTTTTTTATATAATCATACATAAAATTCTGGAAATACTTGATTCTGTACTACATAATCCTTCCGTTAATGTAACGTGAATTGAAAATTTATACGTATTAACTAAATCAATTATTCGTAACTCCCTTTTGTATTTTTGTGATATTTTCCACGTCAAAATTTTTAAAACCAAAATAATAAAAAAAGAAAGTTAATAAAGTAATCGATACGCCCCTCAAACATAGACTATTTTTCTTGTAATAAAAATTGTTGTGTAACACCTTAACGAATAACAATTTCTAAACTAATAATTTACTAGTGCTAATAAATTACATTTATTGATTCAAAGGGACATAGAAATTCAATTAAATCATCACTGGTTTTGCTAGGTCATATTTTTTTGAAAGAATTTAATAGGTATTTGTGATATGGACATGTGTATCCAACAATTTGCATTTGTGGATGGGTAAAATATTGAAAACTTTGTAAATTGCAATAACTGGATTTGGTGTAATAATTTAATCATAGATCCAAGTATTTTAAATTTGAGGAAGCTAATCCATTAAATAGATTTTCAAAACTATCCATAGTAATCGTATGAAGAATGTTGATAAAATTTAAAAATCGATGTTAGATATTTACTTACAGTATTTCTGAAAGACTATTCAATCAGTAAATATTTCATCAAGTGACGATCGTGGATGTAACGTAAAGCATTTCATATATCAAAATTATTAATATATAATTTACTTTTTTTTTGTCATAAGTTGCAGAAACCTAGAGATCGTTGCGTGCTTAATAAAGTTGGAGATCTACACGAGATTTAGGAAATCAGCAAAGGCCACTGGCCAAAAACGATCTCTAGTCAACTTGTCCTCTGGGCGAATTGTCCTTTCAAAAATAATGTATAAAAACAGGATTGATGTTTGGGTTAGAAGAGACAGTTCACTTTCAATGATATTTCTCCGATATTCCTTATTTAGATATTTTTAATGGTTAGAAATTTCGTAAGATCGACATTTAATAAAATTAACTCCGTAAAGTGCAGATTGAGGCAGTACTGATTTATTAATTTGTTATTAAGGAATTTATTGCATAATTATTACATAATTAAAATACTTCTGCTATATTTATACATTCGTATAAATAAGAACTGAATGCAACAGTAGCATTGAAAAAAAATGACATATTTAAAATAACAAAATATAGAATGATGTTAACCGGTCATAAAAGTCCGTTCTAGAGAAGAATTTTTATTATACATTCGTTATATTTTTCATTTATTGATAATGTATTAATTAATATTATACTTATTTTTGAAATTTAAGACCGGATCCCAACTTACAAATTGTCGATCTAAAAGTTCATTATTCTTTTAAAACTTTTTCATAAAATTTTTATAACATCTTATTTACAAAGTTTACTTATTATAGTTAGATAAGCGATTAGAAATAATTAAATGATGATTTGGATGAGGAGGATTTGGCTACTTTAATTGACGATATATAGTAATGAATTTGAAGATTTTCTTAACAGCCACGAAACAAAAGAATCGGTAAATTTTCGAAAGAATGGTTTCTTCTTACTCAAGTCGGATCAATTTTTAAAAAATATGATTAGTGGTTGGAATCGGTTTGCTTTATTTAACTATTAACTGGGTATAGGATTTTTAGCTCTCTAATATGATTAACGAACTAAATCAATTGTGATTCATTTTATGAAAAGAAATGGGACATAGTATCTTAGACTGTAAAATGTATATTTTATCGAGTAAAAATACGATTTCCTAAAAAAAAGGATATGTGTTAGTTATTTGATAGGATAAAAAAATAAACTATGTTTAGTATAATGTCAAAAATATCATACAATGTTAGTTTATTTATAGCTTAATGTAAAAAATATCAGCATGTTTAATAATCCATCCTATTTGGCTGTAGGATAAACTATTTTTGATAGACAATCACGGTCATGTGATATACCGCATAAGCTCATCAAAGAGAATTCGGACGAAAAAAAGATTCATTTTTTCGATATGTTTCAGCTATATTAATTTATCACATGATAATGCGAACTTTTTGCTCAAAAGTACATTTAACCAGTTTTTTACTTTAGAACATCAACTAAGAAATAATGAGAAAACATTTCAATGTAATTTTTAAAGGACCATATAACTCACATTGTATATATATTTATACCGCGCAAGCAAAGTACAAAATAATATTTGGCACCTTAACCTAGTCATCTTAATTTGTTAAAAACCTTATCATTATTGATGTGCTTTGATTCAGCAAAAGTAACACCTTTAGAGTTTTTTTATTAAATTACACCATCATTTAAAGATGGTTTAAGTTAAATTGCTTTATTCATTATATTCTTATTAAAGAAAATAATTTTTATAACTATTTCATTGAATCCAGCGGTATTTTCTCTCTATCATGTATGTTTGTATGTTGATCTTGTTCTGTTGCGATGTTGCTTTTTCAATTTTCAGTTAACATTTATTATTTAAAGGGTCTCTTTTTCTATTTTTGTAAAGTTTACTTCGATGCAAATGCATATATTTATTGGCAATAAAAGTACTTTTATTATTTTATTTTAAAAATAAAACTAAATATATTTTCATTTATTTTGTTATTGTGAAGTGTCTCATCCGGACTTCAATAAGGTAGTTTCTTTCTAGCGAGTTCTTGCTAACGATGCCGGAGTAAAAAATAAGTGAAAATCTTACATAACATAGCGTTACTGCGCTTTATTAATTTATTTCTGAAAATAAAGCCACACTGATCAGATACAATGTAGCATAAAACAATTTGTACATGTAATTACTTTCTAACTCATCACTCATAATATTCAATTACTCCTCTTTACTTTTCTTAATCATCTTACTCATTTTATATAATTTTGTATTGATATTTATCATAGAAAACGTCAAAATGGATAAAATGGATAGCAACAACTATGTTTCTATTAACTCTATTTTCGATAACCTAAATCTTTATTCCAAACCAATGGACTCCTCAAGAATGGATGCTAAACTAGGTAATATTTAGCTGTTTATGAGAAGCAGAAAAAAAATTCTTAAGTAATTTTCACCCTAGATCCGGGAGTGCATCTAAAAAATGGCGAAGAGGCGCAGAAAGTGATGAAGAGTATACAACAAAATTCTTCTTACGTACAAGAAAAACGAATATTTTCAACAATCCCAATGGAATTCCAAAACCAATAATAGCAACCCCATAGGATGCTCTTTGCTACATATACACGATCAATTTATATTTCTCAAAGTAATCTTCAAAGAAAAGGACAAGGAAAAATTGCAAGAAATATCGAAACAGGTGAAATTGCTTTATCGCCAAGTCCAAATCTGTCAATGAATAATTATAATGGAACAAAATCGCGAAAGGAGTCCAGCAACAGTCAACATCTCCTGGAAATCAGACCAGGAAAGGATTTTGAACCTTGTATTTGGTACATCAGTTACTGGCAACACGAAAGTCAAGCAAACATTGTGTGCAATCCGGCAAGAGAATGACAAATACCTTTTTCATCGGGATCAACATGGAAATGTGGTACCAGAACTAGATTTATGGGAGTTCGGGAATTGTTCGGAGACGAATGCTTGGATTTATTATGCCGGTGGAGACCAGAACTCCAAATCAAGTCTCGAACAATATCAGTATACAAAGGAGAAATAATGAAACCATGCAAAAATTGCAAAGCTATTCAGAATTGGTTGACACATTAAAGAAACATCGCGAGTATCGTGAATTTCATGGACCTACAGATGAATGGCTAATTGATCTAGAGATTAAGAATTATTTCAATAAACATATGGTATCGCCAATATTTATCCATTGTTTGTATATGATACTGGATTAATCGTTCTGTTTTCAGATGATCGCGTGGTATCATGTTTATGTGGAGTGAAATGGTTGGCATGTATATCTTGGGGATTAATAAAATGGAAGGTCTTGCGAACTACCTTTACGGCTCAAAAAAGAGATGTGCAATTATGGAAGACACCGGTGAGCTGGTACCTCAAGTGGAACTTAAACGTCGTGTAATGGAAGATTGGCAATGGAAAAGTTGGAAATGGAAATGTTGGCAAAGGAAAAAAGGTTGGCAAAGCAAAATTGATATGAGAAAAATCATGTTGATATCTAAATAATATATAGGGTTTTTTTTTCTGCAGAATGTGCTTTGCGATTTTATTGTACTGAATAACGATATTAAAAAAAAATTAGCATATTTTCACTTAAAAGATATTGAAATTAAACATTTTATTAACAGATATACGTTACGAACGTTAAAAAATAAGCCCGATATAGGCGAAAATTTTATTTAATTATAAGCTTAAACTTTGAGCGATAAAACAAAACCGTCACGTGATTATCTGTATCACTGTTTGCTCAACATTCTTAAATAAGTGTTGACAAAAATGATTAATTCATTAAATATATATCATCCATTAAATGTTATCGCTAAGAATGAAATAAGATCATAAACCTTTCTTGCCTTTTCATTTATACTGTACTAGTATCCCCCCTTGTTAAGTCATCAAGGATCTCCATTTCCCACACTTCCGAAACACCGATGCTAGTTTTTTTCAAGACAAGAGAATGAATCATCAACTTTAGATTGCTTCGCTTTCTTGCTAGGTTTATCTGTAGATGAGTTAATCCACTTCTTACTAACAGGCCGAGTTGCTACTTCTTTCACATTTATCCAATTCTTGATTAGACTCCTCCGGAGTTGCTACAGTTGTATTGTTTTGGAGTTGCTTTTCCATTAGATCCACTATTGATGACGTACTAGACTAAGAACCTTGCCTAATGTTGGAATTATCATATTGTAATCGGGAAGTGGGCACTCGCTTAGCATTCTCTCGATACAAATTCTATGAAACACGTGTCCATAACCAAGCATCGCGAACGCCTTAAACCTAGAGGTTGGAACCGGATCAAAAATCCTTAACCGGTTAATAACCGGTTAAACAAATCTTTAACCGGTTAACAAGATAAACGTCTTAACCGGTTAATTAACCGGTTCCAAACTCTACTTATACCCCATTAACATATACTGTACATGTATGTAGCTTTACCTATACTTTTTAAAGAATGAAAGGGATACTGCTACAGAGACTAGCGGATTAGAACAACTTAGAGCCCATTGACCTTGATCCGATATAAATCTTTCTTGTAGTATAGATCTGTTTATAATAATATTTCAAGTCAATGGTCCAATTTTGGCTAAACCAAAATAAATAAAAAAGAAACAGAAGAAACATCGGGTCTGGTACAAATTCCAAGTTCTGAAGGGTCAATCAACATCCCGAGATCATATTCTGGAATCGAAATCAATATCAATTATTATTACTGCGCCCAATTGAATATGCAAATAAAACTTTAAGAAATATTATTATGAGTTTTTTTTTTTTTTTTTTTTTTTTTTGCTTTATAACTTGCAAAAAAAATTTTTATCTTAAATCACTTTTTAAATACTTTTGCCAACCATCGCTTTTATTTTTAAACTATGAAAATTACGAAATCGTAAAATGCATTATCCTATCGAAAAAAGTTTAAAAAAATTATTAAATAAAATTTTAATAATTTCTTTCATACAATTAGGGATGGTAACGGTCGGTCATGGTCGGTCAACGGTCGGTACACGGTCGGTCAGAGGCCTTTGACCGACCGACCGGTTATATTGACCGGTTAACCGGCCCAGCCCATATAACAATAATATAATTTAAAGTCTTGATCGTTAAATTTAATTTAAACTTTAAATAATATTAACATGGTATTTGCTAAAACTCCGAATTTATATATATTTAACTTATTTCTTTTAGGCTGCTAACTCGATATGCATATTAAGTTTACTTTCATATTTTAATTTATAAAAAATTACATAACTAAATGCAAAGAATTCTTGTATTACTAATTAAAAAATGTTTGGTCAACCGGTCGGTCAGAAACCTTCCCTAATACAAATTGGATATTGTAGTAAGCAAACCATGATAATATTACAACTTTAAAAATTATGATATTCGGGGATTATGATTTTGGATTATGCTGACAATTTCGGAGAATTATGATTTTCGGGATTTTTAACGGACGGCAAGGCATCATATGACCCATACGCCCAATTCGCTTAATTTATCAATAGTTGTCAATTATGGAATTATTTAAATCAGACTCTAATATTATAGACCAAATCATCTCTCATCAATGGGATAAACAAATAAAGTAATCTTGTTGTTGTTTTAAGTGACGTCAGATTAAAAAAATCATTTACACACGCACACGTTTTATGCACCATTATCGAATTGGTGGTTTTAATGGCTTGATTTGAATTTCTGTACTTGCTGATTTTAATTGTATGCATTTGATGTTGAACCTTTACTATAAAAATGACTTGATTAAACCTCCATTTTCTCAAGTGCAGAAAATTAAAAAAAAAACATGTCTAGAATTATTGACAAAGGTTGGCATAATTGGGCAGGTAATCAAAAGAGCTCCCCTACTGAGATATTTCGACCGAAAAATTTGCAAGACATAAAAAAGATTATTGAATTAGCGAAAAAGAATCAGAAAAAGATTCGATGTTCTGGAGCCGGTCATACTTGGAGTAGTTTAAGTGTTACCAATGATTATTTGGTACTCGACGAACATTTGAATAAAATTGACATTAATTATAATGAAAATTTGAATACTTGGACTGTCACCACCGAACCTGGTAAGTAAGTCCACTAACCATAATTCTCATGTTTCGATAACACTCTCATTTTTGATATTATTAGGCGTGTATTTAATAGACCTTGATAACGCTTTGTCGGAACATCAACCTCCGTTAACTTTAAACTCCGCAACGGTATTGGATACTGTGACAGCTGGAGGAGTGGTCGCAACTGGTTGTCACGGTGCGAGATGTAACAATGCAACCATTTCAGATAAAGTAATTTCAATCCAAATCGTTACTTCTTCTGATGGAGAACTTCATGAATTTTCGGACGAAATAGATCCTGAAGAAATGAGCGCTGCTAGAATCAATTTGGGTAAATACTTCGGTATTGATTTTTTAATTGATTGTATTGATCCATCACTAATTTCATTAATAATAATAGGTCTCTTGGGAATCATATACAAGCTTACTTTCGAAGTTGAACCAATGTTCAATTTAGAGATGATCGATACCACCCCAGACATCGCAGCTGATTGGAATGCGTCAAACGTAAAGAAACTCTTTACTGACTCTGATAGTCTTGAAATATTCTATTGGCCATTCAATACTCCGGAACTTAAAGGTGACAATGACAAAATTTGGATAAAACAATATAACAGGACACAAAAACCAGTTGAAAAATCTGAGCACAAACTCAAGTTTGAGCGAATTTTACAGTCTTTGTCGATTTCATTTGGAAATCATCTTTACGATTTCATGGCCAAAGTCCCAACTTCTACGCCTTTTTTAACTCATCTTCTCTTCGATGCTGGGGTAAATCATAATTCTAGTGTAGTTTTGCAAGCTCCGGACGCTATTCATTATCAAGTAGGTGTGTTTTTTTTATTATGGATCATCATCACGTGATAATATCAGGGGCACCTTTTCAATAATTTCAATTCCCTTGACCTTCAGGCCGGTATCGACAATATTCCATGTTTGGATTTGGAATTCTCCTTCAAAGTCGATCAAGACTTTTCCAACGTTATCGAAGAAGTCAACTACATTGTTAAAAGGGTTTGAAGATATTATTCTTATTATATATAATCTTTGTGTATAAAATTTTAAATCACTTCAACTATTTAACATCATTATTCTTTGAAAATACACTTAACAAAAAGATTTACGAAGAAACCGACAGAAAGAATTTCCCCGTAAATTTGGCAGCAGAATTACGAATCAACAAATCATCTCGTTGCTTATTAGCTACGTCATATGACAAAGATCCGAACGTAAATTTCGTAATGCTTGAAATTTTAGCTGTAAACGGTACTAAAGGTTTTCAAGAATTTTCTATTGAATTAGCTAAAAGGTGGATGCGAAAGTATGATGCTCAACCACATTGGGCTAAATTATGGGAATATGTGCCTGATATTACACCACACATAAGAAGATGTTTAAGTGTAGATGACCGTCTTAATAGGTTTGAAAAAGTTCGAGCCAAATATGATCCTGGTGAATATTTCTTTGATAATAAGAATTTAAGAGAAATTTTCGGTAAAAAGGTAAGAAATTCTATTCAAAATGCAAAGAATTGGTTTATCATTGTTATTAACATTAATTTAATTACTTTCATATTAATAATTTATCCGACGAACAGCAAAAAAAAAATCACGGAAGATTGTTATTAGACCGTATAAAAAATCCTGGTTTTCCCAAACAAATTCGATTTTTATTTAACCGGAATATCGAATGATTGGTATATGGCGCAACAAATCATTATTCATTTCAAATATCTAAAAAGAATTTTTATATTAGGACCCGAGGGTTCATTATTTTGTTGTATGTACAGTATATTATTTATTTGCTCAATATTTCTTTCTACGCCTCTTGAGTCGCAGTAATTGGCATTGCGACAAATAAACATTTTTCAATAGAGCAGAGATTAAATAATAAAATAAATCATTAAATAAAATTATATTTTATAAATTAATACAATAAATATTAAAATTTTAAATTATAATGAGTTAACAAGAAAAAAATGAGTTTTCAATTTTTAATAATTTATTATTTATTATATTTTTCGTATATTAATAATTATTGGTTATTTTTGAATACCATAGCATATGAAAATATTTTAAAAAAACTAAGTCAACATTTTTTTTTAGTGTTAATAATACACTAACATTATTTATAAAAACTGTTTATAAAAATATCAAAATACAAATAATTATATGTACAATTAATCTTTTCTATTTCAAAATTATATTCAATAAAATTATATACAAAAAATTAAAAACCATAAAATGTTAATTCAATGATATAATTTAATTTTATAGATCTTACCTACGTAAATGATACCAGAAAAAAAAATTTAATTTTTTTTTTCTTTAAAAAGATAGAATTATTTCAAAAACGCTAGTTTCTTTGATATATTTTATTTCAATAAAATACATTTTTTTTTTTATTCCTAAAAAAGAAATAATACCATTTGCTTTTGTTGTTAAAGTAGAATCACAAAATTTTGACAAGTGATAATTCGATTATACCAGGCCGAAAATTTTTTAGGTATTTAGTTATTAAATCGTTAGATTTTCATTCAAGGCAAGTTAGATTTCGTTTATATGAAATGTCATCTTTTTATTCGAATTCGTTTGATAATTCTTGATAATTGGCAAATTTCACTGATTTTCATTCGCTAATCATAAAAACAATAATTATTGTTACACTTTCCTAAAATATTTTACTAATAAGTAATTAAATGCGTGGTCCACGTAATATTATTTCTCCATTACTCCCTGAGCATGCAAATAAGCCAATTGATGCTGATAAGTCGCATAACATTCCTAATTACTTTCCTAATTACTTTTAAAATAATTGATTTTCAAATTTATAATTTCACTTGAATAAGGTTATAAATTTGCGTTCAATATGAGTATTCTTTGTAATTTGCAAATCTTTGTATATTGGCCATCAAAATATATACCTTATTTTTTTTAAATGAAAAAAAAAGGAATCATTTTGAACGATTTAGAAATTACGAGTAATGGAAAAGTCTAATCGCTCATCTTTAATAAGTTAAAAGATAGTTATGATTTCAAAATTCACTGATTAAATTAATAGAATAATTACACGGCCCGTATGTGATTATTATAGGAGTAATTTAAGCTATTACAATATAAGCTATTCGTTATATAATATGCCTTAAAAAATATTATATTATCCTATTACTATTATTTTTATTATATATAAAAAAAATTATTAAATGCATATGCAAGAAGGTATAGTCACGAATTTAAATGTAATAGTTTTAACTTTATACATGTATAATGTGCATAGCGGCTAAAGACTTTCTAAACGAAATAACTTTGTGATGTTTCGATAAATGATAACGAAATTGCATTTACTAAAGATTTCATTAAAATTCATTCAGTTGTGATTATGATTATTGTTTATTGTTGTATTGCTTCTTGCTCATTTTTTATTCAAATTGATTTAATAACATTTGTGCGCGTGTGAGTTAAAGGATAAATATGGTAAAGATAAAAAGTAAATTATAATTATGATCGTAAAGAATAAAAATATTTATAATAATCAGGGGCCGATAATCAATTATACCGTAACGCCAAATAATGTAACTTGTTCTTAAACAATTAGTAATTGATGAGTATTCTAAAGCAATTTATATCACGTTGGAATATTGACAATACAATTCATTGTAAGGCAGATTTTTGTAGGAACTGTTAAAAGTTTAAAAAACTCAATAGATCCTTGTATAAATAGTAACATGGCGCATTATTCCGGAAATGATATTAAATATAAAAAAATCCATCGAAAATATTTACGAGTAAAAAATACTTTTAAACATAACTATTTGTTTACATAATACAAAATTACAGAAATACGAAGTATTTGTGCTTTAAAAGGATGTGATATGATGGTTAGACACCGTCTGCAAAATCTCGAACGTAAGTTCAATTTTGAAGCAATTATACTAAAATTGTCTAATGATCAAGGTGCTGTAGTTGTTCAATTAATAGCGACGCCATTATGTGTGATATTTAGAAAAAAGGAGCAAACGAATTTTTGTAAATTATCTAAAGAAAAGCAGTACAATAATGACTTTGAAGCAATTAATAATTCAAGTAACCAATTAAAACTACATTGGTTAATCGAATGGAAAAACATCTATATTTTTTTGGAAATAATATAGAGTATTAAATGAATCGCATCTTTAATTTAAGTTGATATGATTATGTAAAAACTATTATATTATAATTACAAAATCAAAAATAACTGCTTATTTCTTTAAAAACTATTATTTGCATTTTTGCATTCACGTGATCAAATTCAGCAATTACTTCCGCGACATGCAAGAAGCAGCCATAAGAAATAGACACAGGAATTGGCAAATGATCTAGCGGTTGATCCGTTCAAACTAATATCGACACCTTTTTCATGGTTCATTAAATCAATGAAAGATCAATAAAGTCGGTAGTGATCAATCTCGTTCTTATGAAAAAGTCACATATAAAATTTTGAACATGAACATGCCAAGAATTCTTAAATTCTAATTAGGAGCTTTTCTTTTATTTAAAAATATTATCTTTCTAGCTTACTTTATTTTCCAACTTTACATTCTATAAGAAACATTGCATTCTAATGATGATTTTAGTTTTCATTATTTACGTTCTTTTGAAATTTTGTAGAATTGTTGATCAAGTTCGGATTAACTTTTTGATAGGACAAAATATTCAAGCAGACTAGTTAGTCATTTATGAAAAAATCACTAACCGAGGGCTGAGTAAAATAAGAGATTTCTATAAAAAAAAGAAAAATAAAAAAATAAAACAAATTGTCCGTACAAGCTAATTAAAAAAAAATGATTTTAAAAAACAATTTAGAAAAATCCCTAAAAGACCTAGAAATGAGAATTAAGGACTTAAAGCAAAGTAACGAAGGGTTGCGTTCACAATTTAAAAATTTAGAAGAAAAGGTTAAAGAGCGAGAAGAAGAAACCTTTGTCGTGCCAAAAACTATAAATAATTTAGAAGAGAAGAAACCAAAGCTAAGCAAGAAATCACTAATAATTGTGAAGAAAAATTTAGAGAACGAGAAGAAGTATCCAAGGAAAAGCAAATAATTATTATCAAATAGAAAAGAGAATCAGAAATCTTGAATTAATAATTTATGATGATACTATTGATAGTTTAACCATTACAGATACTAACAAGGACATATTAAACATCACAGGATTGCAAAGATTTCGAAAATTGACAAAACTAATTTGTAATTGAAGTGAAATAACCAGTCTACTAACTTTACCCAACTTCATAACGAAACTCTGTTAAGCTTAAACTGTTCGTCGTTAAGTTAACAATTTATATTTGCTAACAGGGAGTTTAATTATGAAAGAAATATACACGAATTTAATTAATTGAAGGGTCAGATCATCTTTATTGATATTATTTGAAGATAATTAGTTAATTCTTAATTTATTTACAAATCACTATCTCAAGTTATTATTTAACTCAAGAACAAATACATACTATTTATATAAAATAAACTAATAGTAATATAATAAGATAAATATGTCTGATAT